AGTGCATGAAATTAGATGTATAAATTAGAAATAGGAGTGGTCCAAGTATGGACCCTTGGGGTACGCCGGATTTCAAATTTAAAGATAAAGACTGAACTCCATTTAAAACAACTGTTTGTTTCCGCTTAGTGAAGTAGCACTGAAATAAATCTATAGCGTTTTGAGAAAGACCAATACGATGTAAAATAGCAAGCATTAATTGATGGTATAAAGTGTCAAACGCTCTGCTGAAATCCAGCAGAACAAGAACAGTACACTCGCCACGATCTGTAGCTCTAATTATGTCGTCTGTAACATGAAGTAAAGACGCCGTACAGCTATGATTTTTCCTAAATCCAGACTGTACAATTGGCAGTAATGAAAATTGTGACAAATGATAAGAAAGTTGCTCCTCCATTGCACGCTCAAGTAATTTAGAGAAAAATGGTAAAACACTAATCCCTCTGAGATCTTTAAGATCTGAAGGATTAGGTTTTTTTGGCAGAACACAGACATTTGCTTGCTTCCACAGATCAGGGAACTGATTATGCGTAAAACAAAAATTAATTATATGAGTTAAATAAGGAATAATATGAGGGCAACATAGTTTAATAAAATTTAAATTAAAACCATCGCAAAAACGAGCATTAGTTTTAATACGGCAAATTGCTTCATAAACAAAAAAAAAACTTCTTTGAATTCAAAAGTTGAAGAATTCCTCCTAGTATTTCTGTAGAAATTTATTAAGTTAGGAGAAGGCTGTATATACGTATTAGGTATACTGTTAACAAAAAAATTATTAAGTTCATTGACATCATTAAAGGAATTTGGAATGGTGTTATCATTTTGAGAGACTATTCCATTGTTCCTTAACCTTTTCCACATTTCTGTTGATCTGCAACTTTCTAATATGTATGTATAATAAGATCTTTTTTCTCTGATGATAGCAGCATTAACTAAATTACGCAAGTCCTGATAATATCGCAAATGAGCATTCAGTCCTGTTCTTCTAAATCTAAGCAGCGCCCTGTCCCTGAGATTCTGCTTTCGCTTCACCACATCTGTAAGCCATGGGGCTCTAGGTTTAGTAACTCTCATTGATACCAAAGGAAAATGCCTATCAAAAAGGTTTGTAAGCAGGTCTGTAAGAAACGCAACTTTAGAGTCGGCGCTATCTTGGTCAAATAGCATGAAAAACGGGGTTGCAAATAGATCCCTGCAAAAACTGTCTTCATTAAAGTTTTTATATGAGCGAATAGTAATGATTTTAGGTTTATTTCTCACTTCACTAACATCTACCTTACTAAAAATTATAAAATGATCCGACATACCACCACTATCCATGACACCTGTATCAAATACAACCTCATCGCCAGAAATGATAAGATCCAATAAACTTGCACATGCACCAGAGATTCTAGTTGGACAGTCTATCATTTGCTTAATCGAGAAAGATTCTAGAACAGAATAAAATCTTACCACATGTGCTTGATCGACGTTTATCAGGTTAATATTAAAATCTCCAGTGCATATGACTTCATCAACTGTTGGATAAATCGTACTCAAAACACATTCAAATTCATCTAGAAAACTATTAACATACATATTCGGAGGCCTGTATATTAAACCAAAACCGTACGATTTTTCGTTGATTACAATTTTTAACCAAAGCTGTTCACTAAATAAATCACTTGTATCTATTAAGTCGAAAGTGTAACATTCCTTAACATAAGCTAACAGACCACCTCCTCTTGTACCCCGATCTTTCCTTAAAATACTAAAACCACTGCAATTAATAGATGCGTCATCAATACTATTTCTCAACCATGTTTCACAAACAAAAAACATATCAAATTTTGCATTGCCAAGAATAATTTTCAATTCATTCAGAGATGGTACGATAGATCTAATATTTAAACATCAGATTTTTATGTATTTCATGTAATAGGCAAAAACAGTAATACTGCAAAAAACTAAGAGTAACTTATGCTGAACCTGACAGAAAAGGTATAGGCGGTAGATCTGATTCCAATAAAAACAGCGAGAAGAGCGTAACCAGCATATGGCATGTATGAGTTTCGTCATTCCAAATATTAAATTTCAGAAGGGCCGCTAACATTTTACGAAATTCTAAATCTCCATTATTATGAATTCCAACAAAAGAGGGTTCTCGTGTATGTTTGCTTAATGCATCCATATGTCACTCTGATCATCATAATAATTATTCGTATTCGACTCATACATTGTACATTCACATCCGACATTCGCGTGTGGTGCTTGAAAAAGTCCGCTTGATGAATGTCATTCGAGTAATGAACTCGAGAGCGCGAAAAAATGTCGAAGGTCTTACAAACACTACATCAAGACACCTTGTACACATATTTGCTTACAACGACTGCTCTTAGATACAGGGTGTTTAATACTATTGAAGTGGAAACGACATAAAATACTGCATGTTTGTTGAAATTGTTATTAGGCTCAAGTGCTTCATAGTACCAGCGATAAGGGGTCCGATCCTGCACTTCACTGGACGAGAAATCTGATTTACGTAGTTAGCCTAAGCCATTCAGAACATCAATCAATGATTCTAATTCTTTGTATAAACATAGCGGTGTTAAATAATATACTAAGTGACATATAAATCCGAACACCCAGTTTAAATGGTTTTATTTTAATAAATAACAAGTGAAAAAATGTTCAGCCTTATCAGTTGGACATTCCGGTTTTTATACTACTTTTTTTTAATTCACTAACGCTCTAAAAATGAATATTTCAGCCGCAGTAAAGAATCAACGTTGGCGGATTTTGGTTCTTGTCATCCTTTACGATCGGTTACGATGCCTAGAGTACGGAGACCTGTACGATTTCGTCAACTTAGTGAGTTTGATAGGGGCCGTATAGTGGGACTTCGGGAAGCTGGACTTTCTTTTCGGGCAATTGCAGTTAGAGTGCAAAGAAGTGTAGACACTGTGGTTAGGTGTTGTCAGGCATGGCTTCGAGAACGCCGTACGCAAAGAGCAAGGGGCACTGGACGCCGCCGTAGAACAACAGACCGTGAAGATCGCCGCCTAAGATTATTGGCCTTAAGGGACCGTTTTTCCACTACCAGGTCCATTGCAAATGAATGGTTTGCAGAACACGGAAGACCTATTGGCATGCGAAGTGTTTACCGACGAATGAGAAGTTTTGGCTTGTTTTCATACCGGCCACACTGGGTCCTCCCTTTAACTCGAGAACACCGACGTAATCGCCTTGAGTGGTGCAAACAACGGTCACTCTGGGATCAGGAATGGAACAGTATTGTCTTTAGTGACGACTCTAGATTTTGTTTAGGCATGCACGATGGTCGTGCCAGGGTTAGAAGGCGACGTGGTGAAAGGAGGAATTTTTTGTTGAAAGACATGTTCATCACACTGTTGGAGTTATGGTTTGGGGTGCTATAGGTTATGGTTCCAGGTCACCTTTAATCTTCATCAGAGGTAACATGAACGCGCGGCGTTATATCCACGAAGTTCTAGAACCCCATCTTTTACCCTATCTTGACACCCTGGCAGATCCAACTTTCCATCAAGATAATGCCCGACCACATGTTGCAAGAGTCACAATAGACTTCTTTCAACATAATGATGTCACATTGTTACCATGGCCACCAAGATCTCCCGACTTATCCCCAATTGAGCACGTGTGGGATATGATGGGTAGGAGATTGCTCAATTTGCAACGTCCTCCTCAGACTCTAGAAGCACTTCGAGAGGAGTTGGTGGTTGCCTGGAATGAGATACCACAGGAGGAAATTGACCACCTGATCAGAAGCATGCCTAGGCGCGGTGGAGAATGCGTAACACATCAGGGTGCATCCACACATTATTAGAGGTCAAAGGGCTTTAAAGCAGTGCAATCATTTTGAAATTTTTATCATTTACTTATTATGCTTCATTAAGTACTTATACAAAATTTTATTAAAATAAAACCATTTAAACTGGGTGTTCGGATTTATATGTCACTTAGTATAATAAAAATATAGGTATAATTGTTTTGAGTGAGACCTGGAATATCAGTAATATCGACAGTTATGAAATAAATGGCTTCCAAATTTACTATAATGAAGCTAAGTATAATAAATGCGATGGGGCTTGTATGTATGTAAGAGATGACATTTCGGCAAATGTTTCCATAAAAATGATAGATGTAGTGACGGCATTGAATTGTAGCTTTATTTTCGCCAATAACAGTTTCAGTATTACTGGTATCTACAGGCCTAATCCCACGAATGTACAGGATTTTGTAAACAATTTGGATTCGTATTTGAGAAGTACTGCAAACTGTGACATATCGTTGTTGGTGGGTGATATAAATATAGACGTATTGAGAGAACATGAATACAGCAATTGAAGAGACGTGAATATGTTACAACAGAACGGATACATATCTCAAATTAATAGACCCACTAGGGTAGATTCTAACTCATCTACGATTATCGACCACATACTTTCGAAGACAAACAGATTTAAGGTCTCTGAAACAGGAACTGAGTGTAAACCAATATTTTTGGAAAATTGTAAGACCGATCATTATCCTGTTTTTTTCAATGTTGGGTATTTGAAAGGAAGTAATTGTATCATTAAAAAAAAAACAGCTATGAATTTAAGAAAATTGATGAGAAAAGGTTGACAGATTATTTGCAAGTGGTGCCTTGGGACAGTGTTTTTTCAGAGAGTGGTGTCCAAAAAGCAACTGATAACTTCTATAATGAAACTATATAAAGGCATAGATCATTCAACGTATTATTTAAAAATAAATAGTAAGACTAGAAAACGCAAGCAGTGGATAACTGGAGGTATTCTTACTTCGATCAAGACGAGGAATAAGTTGAAACGAAAGATAAGGATAATTTGATATCGAGACAGTCCTATATCTCCTACAGAAACAGAGTAACTAATCTTAATAATATCTCTAAAAATCAATATTACACACAAAAATTCATTCTAGCAGGTAATAACTACAGGAAAAGCTGGGATGTTATTAATGAGGTAACTTATGCTGGCAAAATTTAATAAATGACGTAAAATCACAATAATCAGCAGCTGGATGCTCCCACTGATATAGCCTGTGTTTTTAATAAATATTTTGTTGATATAGGTGAGCAAATAACAAGTCAGATTGATCAAAACTCAATTCTTGATCTTCATGTCGTCAGCATTGCTCACTATATGTTTCTAACTCCTGTGGATAACATAGAGTTACAGCGAATAGTTTGTAATCTGAAAAATAATACCGCACCCGGAAAAGATGGCTTACACAGTAAAACTATCAAGACGATCATGAAGTATATCAGTCACCCTACAACTCACATTATCAACCTCTGTTTCAAATCCTCGCCAATTTAAAGAAAGCATAGCGACACCAATATTTAAATCTGGAAGTAAAGACAATATGTTCAATTATAGACCTATTTCAAATATCAATGTATTTGGGAAGATTTTTGAGAAGTGTTTGAATAGCAGACTTTGTTGTTTTCTTGAGAAATATGACATAATATCGAACCTTCCAAAAATGCATAAAGTTTGATGGTATTAGGTTGTATAATAAATTACCTCTAGAATATAATATCCTCTCGAAGTATAGTTTCAAAAACAGAATTAAGAAGTTCATCTTAAATAACTTTGACATGCTTGCATCGCTTGTAGCTTGACTCAACCCAGTCATTTCGTTTCTATGTAATGTTCTTATTTCTTTTTTTTATATACACTTTATGACCATTAGCCATGGATTGAATTTGTATATTGTGTGACGCACACAAGCTTACAGCTTAGGTGTCTATTCTTTTGTAATAAATAATGCTGTTTGATATGGTATATTTATAGTTTTGATATTATGTGAATTCTATTATTAAGAAAAGAGTAAAACTTTCACCCAATTTATCGTAAAAAAACTGAGCTCTTACTAACCTATAAAGAGAAAAATAGGTTTTCGTAGCTAACCTCAAAAGACATGTTTATGACTTGTTAAGAATATACGTATAGACTATTTGAATTACTTCTTTCAAATAGTAGTATTTTCAATAGAATTTTCAGTTATGGATTTCAAGTAATTATAATAATAAAGATCATTTGCAACATACAGCTTAGGTGTATAATAGTACATAGCAGCAAAATACATAAATGAAATACGTTGCAGAAAGGGCTGAAAGCATTTATAAATGATCTAAGTTTGGACATCTATATAAAAGAAAAATCTAACTTTTCCCGAAAATGTGTCCAAAAGACACATTCATTAGTTTGATCGGTAGTGCCTCATTTACATTAGTGCGCAATGGAGTGTTTTTGAAAAATAAATTTCCTGTGTTTGGTTTTAAACTCTTTTGGATGCAGTTTTCAAGTCACTATGAATTTAGTTATAAGGCGGAAGAATGTTATATGAGAAAAATCTACAATAAGAGGTTTGATGAGGAGGAGGTGATACGTTGTCCCGAAACCCCAAATTTAAATTATGAACATCGGCACGAAAAGTTATCCTACGGGTTGCTTAAAAAACTAAATGTTGTTTAAAAGATTTCATTCAAGCGACTCACGTCGACAACGCATATTCAACCAGTTCGCATCAAACAACTTATGCGAAACTCTTTGAAACCTAAATAGGACTTCTGTAAACGCTCAATTCTGTCATTGTCTAAACAAATCCATCGAGCGCTATTTACTAATTCATTTCAGAGAAGCATAAGCACCCTCGATACATTTATCATTACGAGGCTTGAAACTTAAATTCGGATCAAATTCTGCTCATAAATTTCTCATAGTGGCTGAACAAGGTGTAGATTCACTTCTTACTTTCACATGAAAAGGGGGCTCAATATAGCCTTTCAATCTGTAACATTAAAATCTGCAAACGAAAAAGAAAGACTGTATAAAATCATGAAATATTTACCCACGAAAGAAAATATAGATCATTATAATCAGTATAAAAACAAATTTATAGAACTTTTGAGAAAAGCAAAAAAAAATTACTATATAAAACAATTGAATAATAATTCACATGACTCTAGACACCTATGGTCCACTGTCAATGATATATTCAATAAGTCATCCTATTCAAAAAACAATATTAATGAAATAAAAACAAAAACAGGACAGAAAACAGACAATATTCAGCAAATATGTGATGAGTTCATAGAATTTTTCACGAATGTAGGAGGAAACTTAGCAAATAATATCAAACAAAATGCTGATATTCATCTGCATGAAACAAGACTGAATAATTCATTTGTATTAACTGAAGTAGACTATCAGTATGTTTTCAATGCCATTATGACGAAATTAGAGCTGAACATCTAAAGATACTGGCCAAACAAATAACAGAACCACTTGCTTATATCATTAACAAATCCTTCCAATCTGGAGTATTTCCATCAGCTTTCAAGACAGCAATCATCATACCTATCTATAAATCTAATGATAATACGGACGTCACTAACTATCGACCTATTTCACTTATATCAAGTTTAGCTAAAGTTTTTAAGAAATTACTCCTTAATAAAATGATTAATTTTCTTAATAAATTCAAAATTCTAAATTCAAATCAATATGGTTTTATAGCGGGCAAATCTACAACAGATGGGATATTAAGTATAGTAGATGAAATAACCCAAAATATAGATGGAAAAGTACCATCGATATGCGTATTTGTGGACTTACAAAAAGCGTTTGACACAGTTAACCACAATATACTTTTGGAAATCTTAGAAAGAATAGGTTTTCGTGGAAAGATGTATACTTTAATGGAAAATTATTTATCAAATAGACCGCAATCAATAAAATTATTAAGCTCGTATAGTAAAGAAATGTTTGTTAAATGTGGTGTTCCACAAGGTACAATTTTGGGTCCTCTGTTATTCAATAGTTATTTAAACGATATATTCAAAATTAACAGTACTGGTAAAATAGTCAGTTTTGCAGACGATACTGCTATACTCTATAAAGGTAAGGATTGGAACGACTTAAAAGATATTATCCAAAATGACTTTTGCAAAATTATTCAGTGGTTTAATAACCGAAAATTAACAATTAACTTTACTAAAACTCATTTTTTACCATTTTCATCACTATCTAATCATCTACCAAAATATAACCACCTTCGGTTTAAGGTAAATGATAAAAATATAAAAATCAATAGAGTTAATGATACAAAATATTTAGGAATTTATCTAGATCCCCACTTGAGATGGGATGTACATATTTCTCACATACTAAAGAAAATTAGATTCATAGCATATAAAATAAAATTTCTAACCGGTATATTAACTGAATATTATCTACGAATAATATATCAAGCTTTAGTCGAGCCACACATAACATATGGTATAGTAGTGTGGGGTGCTGCATGCACGACATACTTTAACGATTTAGATGTACTTCAAAGAAGAATTTTAAAATCAATGTTAGGCAAATCAAAATTATACCCAACTAATGACTTATATAATGATGCACAAGTATATGATACTAAACAACCTTACTTCTTACATACCATCACTCATTATCACAAAACTATTAGTGAACACGACATAATTAAACATAATCATAAAACCAGATATAAATTACGCGCAAAAAATGTTCCTAAACCAAACAAATCCCTAATGAAACGATGTCACCTGTATATAGCTCCAAAATTGTACGAACATTTACCAAATAATTTAAAACAATTACGCAATACATTAGGCTCAAAAAAAAAATTTAAAAAATTTATTAACACGATTGGGAGAAATCAAATTAATAAAATAATCTCAAATATTACACAATAAATGCTCTACCATTCTTACCAATAATTTCTTTTTTCTCTCTATTTTAATATATTTTGCAATTCAACATACATATGATCCATGCACAGGCGTTGTCCTCCTATGGATATATTATATTTATTTACTCGTTTCATGTTCCCTGTATTTTAGAGTAAATAAATATTATTATTATTATTATTATTATTATTATTATTATTAGTCTGTCGACTACGATTTTCCGAAAATACAACTAAACTTCCAATATCCCGAGATTGCCCAAAGCATCACATTCCTCATTAGGATCGATAGACAAATAAAGCTGAGTATCCTCAGCATTGAGATGTACCTGACAAATTCTGAGACATTGGAAAAGATTGGAGGTACAAATACTAAAAATCAGACAACCTAAAGTGGAGCCTTGTAGTATACCCGATAAGATGACATCTTCGGAGGAATTCCCTTTATCTGTTTCTATGTATTGTTGTTAGTTAAATAGTGGTAAGCGTGATAGTAGACTGGGAACACCCTAGCGCAAAATACCAGTCAACATTTCATGATTTAGTTTATCAAGCGCCTTGGAGTAGTCCAAGAGCACAAGCTCGGCGGTTTTTTCGGAATCTGATACTTTGAAGATGTCGCCAGTTATATTTAACAGTGCATCTTTGCAACTGAAGCCCTTCCTAAATCCTGATTGATAGTATGGTAACAAATTGTTCTCATAGATAAATGATCTCTCATTTGTTGGTTCAATATAATCTCAAGTGTTGATAATGTTGGTAAAATACTTATACGGCGGATATCATTGTAGCCACTAATTTCAGACTTCTTTTGTATTGGTATAATTTTGGCAAATTTCTATGAGTCTGAAAACTCTCTATTCAAAAAAATAAAATAGGAGTTTATTGTATAAGTAATGTAAGGGATGATTTTATGGGAAAACAATAAGCTCGTTTCAAGATTTATACCATCAGCACCAATGACAAACGATTTAATTCTGAAAAGTGCATTTCTAACAACATCTTCAGAAACTGTGTGAAATTCAAAAGAAGTGTTAACCCTATTCCTCCTAGTATATCAACCTATTGTATCAGATTCGGTCCATGTTCCGAATAGAACCAAATTGCCTCTTTGTGATTCGTCAAATTTGCGACTATAATGCAAACCCAAATGGTGAAATTTGCGAGCGAAAATAAAAAAATAGTCGTAGCTAAATCAGTTCATATAAGGAGTATTTTTTGATTTAATATGAGAATAAGGAGCCCATCTTCCACAAATAGTATAATTTTCTAAGAAATCGACCAAATTCATTCGATCCATTCCCCAAAAAACGCATTGTCATTGGTCAAATGTATACCGTAGGAACACATGATTTTCACCACCCTGTAGACTTTTAGATTCGATTAGCAATATATGCGCTTATGCAGAAACATATAATAAAGTACTTTCAAAGAGGTGTGCATGCAGGAGAGTGGAATAGGTAAGTTAATCCGTAGGTGCATTTTTCTCTTGTAGTACACAACCAACCTCCAGCCTAGAAAACAGTTGTTTACCTTCGAAAAACAAAGGAACGTTTTACAATGAGCGTTAATGGTGATAGATTATCATTTGTTTCGTTAAGGTCGACTTACAATTATGCTTTCTTCATTTGCTGTATGTCTAATTGAAGTTGCGTGAGCACCGCACTTAGGAAAAGTATATTATACTTTTAATTTCACTTTCAAGGAGTCTCGTAGCGTCACGAT